GGGGGGGGCGGGGCGGGAAGAAAAACAAAAAACCCTTCAACATACAATAGAGAATTTCTGTTGTTTAAAATCACCACAAAACCAGCAGTTTCTAATCAGTGTCCTGCCATTGCCAAAAATTAACTTCATGGCCAATGCTCTGTTCTACCACGCAGTTACCTGAAGTTGTTCTCAAAGTAGCAAGTTACAGCCAACTCCAAGCAGAAGCGTCCCTACTGTTGACAAATCTTCTGGTACTATAATTACAGGCTTCTTGAATGAAATCCAATTAAAATCATTAATCCTGCCAATTAAACCCCCAGAGTACTTTATCTCGAAATAAGGGCTTTTGCCGTTCAAATATTTGTAACTCACAAAGTTGGATTTTTTTAGCAGATATGAAAAATCCAGATGTACATTTGTCCCAGAACTATCAACCTATACGGATCTGGGTGCATTCACATGGATCAGCCACCCCTTTAATGAAATCTGTCACTATAATGTAGTAGTCACTTAACCAAGACAGCTTGGAAGTGTAACACTACTATTGCTATTTAACCGTATTATATTTTGAATCATACCTTGCTGCTGCTGGCTTATTTCTAAAATCAGAAATTATCATGAGTTAAAAACCCCAGAAGTTAAACGTGCATTGTGCTTCTAAAAGTGGAGCATGCAGTGTTGAGACTTTTTACTCGGTACATGTCACAACAGCAGGACCCTTTCTTCTGTTGGTCTCCTTTCTTTGCTTATTTGGCTTGGCTGCACCACTGCAGGACACGCTTGTACAACAGAGTATTATTTGGAAAGAAAACAATTTAGTGGCTAAGAGGTCAGCCTTAAAATTAGGAGCACAAGATTCACGATATTTGTTTCTGTACAAACTGCTTTGAGTAAGACTGTCTCAACATCCCTTGGATCCTGCTACAAAATGGGAATTGAGCATTCTTGCCATATAGAAGATGTTTTGAAGCTGAACACGTTACTTGCGTACATACTTGCCTGCAGAATCACATCATGTGCTTCAAATTACTTGTGTACGTTGCCTGCAGAATCACATCATGTGCTTCAATGCACGCCAGCTTTTCAGCTCTGCAAGCTATTGTGTACACTGTGAAAACTATGAGCTGCTTCCTATGTTAATTATAACCTGTTTAAAAATTTTTTCCCAACTTCCCTTCCAAAAAATAAAGTATTATTTAGATGACTTGCGCCATCCAAAAGATGAAGGCAGAAAAAAAGCTAGCAGAAGTATTCTTGTAGCTGCAGCAAAGAGTGCTATGGGATTACTTTAGTTCTACGTGAGACAGACTGGAGCAGCCTCTGCCTCCCTCATAAACCTACTGTCAACAGGAAGGAGGAAGAGGAACATTATAATCACAATCATGATCAAGCCCTCTGAGAGTTTCTCCATGCTGACACTTACCACAACACTACAATACAGGAAAACTAGCACCCATGTGCGGTCAGACATGACGGTGACCATTTACTATAAAACACATTTACTATACAACACCACTGACTAAAAATCAAGCTAGCTTTAACAAGACTATGCCGAGTACCTCTACTAGATCTCTCTCAGGAGCACTGAATCATCGCAGAGTGCAAATCCTACCCAAGAAACTGAATACACTTGGATTGTTCATTCATGCGGAGCCCTGTGTCGTTCTAGTATGACTGGCCCAGACACTTGAATTAGCCCACTTAAACAGACTGCCACGCAGACAACCTGTTTCATCACTCCACCTGTAGTGTTTATGTTCTTCTCCAACACACACCTACATCCTCTTTGTTCCCAGTTCTCTCATTATGCTATGACAGATTGTCTTTTTCTTTTCCTCCTCCTATATAGCTTAGGCACGCAGACATAAAAAGAAAAATACATTCTACATAAATACTCAATTTTTCACTTAAAAATTCTTTTATTCCCCGCCAGCCTGCTTTGCAGGCAATTCATTCTGCTTTCACAGCTGCTAGGGGCATTTTCTTTATCAGGTGATATACTTACGTCGAGTCTAGCAAAGTACCATCCAGGAGCGAAGCATTGTAGTGATACTTCAAGTAATCTCCCTTCTTACTCAGTACAGTGCAGTTGGAAGGTTTGTAGTTAACAGTAATGCCGACTGAATCTGAGGGGTTGTGGAAGTCAACCACGTGGATGTCAAAGACCAGCACTGCAGATCCTGGAATCTTTCCTAAACAGGAAGCAAATTAGGCAAGTAGAGAAAGAAATGGTACCCAAACAGCCTTTGATGACCAGGTGCTGCACCCTGTAAGAATATATATTCCCACTGTGCCTGCTACTGAGTCATTTTGCTCTTCTCCTTCAGAATTAAAGGATTACATCTCCTCTGTACGCAACAGACACAAGCTGCATCTGATGTAGGAAAGAGAACCAGTGGAAAACCACTAAACGCGCTCAGTTCAACAGCGAAGGAAAAAATTTCCATTATTCTGAATTATGCAGAAATGAAGCGATAACCATGTATTTCCTGTGCCCAATTTAAATGACTGATTTGTGTTTCATGTACCAATTAATTATTGATCATCAAAATTCTCACAGGACTTCTCATGCTTCAAGGAATGCCATTATGTCTAAAAGGTTTACATTTCCTTAAAATGTCCTGATAGCAAGCAATGTCTCCCCCCCACCCCTTCACAGGATAACACGCAATCGTATTACCAGGATTGATAGACACATCCAGACCCAGGAGTGGGTTTTGTTGTGAGAGGAGTCTAATTCCCAAATCAACAGCATAGAATTTGCATTCCCAGAAGAGAGGCTTTTCTTCTAAATCACTTTTTCCAAATAACATCCCAGGAGGTACCTTTTGAAACACCAGCCATAAAACTGTGATGGGCTAGAAGGGTTATCATACTCAGCCTCTCACAGCAATCTTTTTAGGTAGTTGTGAGTTTTCGCAAAGGAATCTTAACTGTATGTTATACATACACAGATACTTTGCTGTTACATGCATCCACTGTTTACAGAGGCGGCTTAGGGAGTCCACAAAACCTGCGGCTGTGGAAGGAACAGGGAAGAAAACTTAACACGATGAATTCCTTTAGCATACAGAGCTTGCTAAGACACACAGGAAGGAAGATCTCACGCTGCAGAGCATCCAAGTACCAGTCTGTCTGAAACACTGATTATCCAAATGAGTTCAGGTCACCAAGTACCAGTCTGCTTGAAACACTAATTATCCAGATAATTTCAGGCCACCAATTACATGTGAGATTGTTCTGCATTCTTATTGTCCTGCCTATTTAGCTAATTAAAATAATTTTGCAAATTCTGGGTGTAATCCTGTCATTTGCACGCCCACAAAATAATGAACTAATTCACAAGCCTTTCAAATGCCCAAAAAATGGAACTACACACAGATGCACTAAACAATAAAGGAAACATCATTAACTACGGAAGACTTGAATGAAAAGTCAAGCTCACCTCTTCCTTCTTCTCCATATCCAAGATGAGGGGGGATTATTATTCTTCTTTTTTCACCAGTGCATACACCTAGCAAACCTTCATCCATCCCAGCAATCACGTAACCTTTCCCGACATAGGTGTCGTATGTATGATTTCGTGAATAGCTATGGAAAATATTTGCATTTTAGCAGTGTCAGGTGTACTCAAGAAAACACAGAATCTTGCAATAGATCTGCAACAAATTCTTAACCCAGTTAAGGTCAAACACATGGTCATTAACTACCACCGGAGAGGCACAATGCAATCACCGTGTTCAATGACTCTTGGCCACCAAGTTTCATCAGTCAGTGATGCATGCGTCATTTATTAACCAGTACTGGGACCCTGGCTAGGGAACAGCTTATTTGCAAATGCATTTCTACTATATCTTGAAAGAAAATCTCACCTATTTATGTATTTTAGACTAAACAGAAAACATGTTTTGATAAGTAACTGAAAAAAAATCAGTTTTCTCCTTTCAATTTTTCTCTGCCCCGATCCTGCTTTAGTAAATGCTTATCAACTAGATATAGTTTACGTTCATTTTCATGAGACACCCTTCAGACTATCTCATTTTGCAACCACAGCTATGTAGTTCAACTACTACAAGCAGGAGGTGGGATAAATAGGTTCTCCTGGGATGCACAGAATTAAAATGAGTCATGACAACAAAACAGTATCAATACTATCCCTCCCTTCCAAATTATGTCAATCACTTTTACGTAGGTTGAAGGATCTGCTTCAACACCTAATGACAGAATAAAACAAGCCTACAACAACAAATTGTGTTTATTACAAGGATGTGTCTGTCTTCTGCCTTTCTTCAAGGCATGCTACATGAAGGCACAACCCAAGGAAGGGAAGGCAAAAAGGTTTTAATTCATCTTTATGAGGTAACTGTGGGAAAGAGCAAGACCAGTACAGACCCTGATGTAATTCAGGGGTTTATTCAACTGCTCTAAGTCCAGACAGCCCTGGATGAGCTGCCCAGGGGCGGTTCTGCAGCTGAATATTGCAGAAGAAAAAAATGAAGGAAAAGATTATTAGAGTTCTTGACCCCAGCCACTCACAGTGCTTTTGGCATGCTTCCCTGTACTAGTGAGAAATTTTTTTCTGGCCAACTCCAAGGCTTTCAATAACTATTGTTAGCTGCTCTATTTCTTCATAGATACTTGTTAGATATTGGCCTTTCTTGTAAATTCTGCAGGAAGCCAGGATACAACACTTTAACGAATAAGCCCTCTAACAACTGTCAGTGCTTTAGTATGATGCGGAGACTGCTGTCTACAAAGCATTTATTACTATTTATTGACAATAATGCTAATAGAAATACTACAGCCCTTTTCAATAATTGTTTATTACTACACACAATACTCATTTACATCTCAAAAAAAAGAGATTCTGGGCAGGTGCACTGTGGATAAGCTTAAAGTTCTTGACTTACAAGTTTTTGTAAGCTGTAAATTAAGGTCTACAGTGATGGCTGTTGATGCAGGTCTCCTGCTTTCTATCCTCCCACCAAACTGGGTAGCTGAATGGGGAGGTCAAGGTTGATTCTGAACCTTACTGCACCTGAATTCAATTACATGAGATACAATTCCCTGACTCCTCCTCACGGGAAGTAGCACACATGGCGTATCACTCAGCTGATGTTTGCAAACTGGTCCTATCTTCAGCTTGCAGCCGTTGTAGAAGTATGAAAAAATTTTTATTCGTTCATTTTGTAAAACATTTTACAGTGGCTCATTTTCAACTCTTTTTAGCTACTTGTGCCAGCTGTTCTGAAAGCTGGAGTGGGGAAGTAAAGTAGTGCCCATTAAAGAGCAAACAAAAGTGACAGGAAGCTACATGGGTATTATTCATCATATAATTCTGTACATGAGGCTCATCTGCCCAGAGAGCTTTGGATCTGAAGTGACAGCAATCCCTCTTCCTTTACCACAGAAACCCCATTGCTAAATTCAGTCTTGAAAGACATTAGCCTTCAAAATGCAAGCAGCTTTCAAGCACAAAGGGAAAGGCTGTCCTGAGATTAACCTCAAACCAGCCACGAGCTCACTGACTCGCAATTCTCAGGACGTAAAATGGGAATAGTATTTATTTTCTCTCTCTTCAGGAGTATTACCTATTTGGCAGATAAACAATATGGGGCAAAGAGTCTTCAGGCCTGCCTGCCCAAAGCATACACAGCCTCACCAGGTGGACCACCGCCCCTAGATGGCGTCTGCGATACTGTCATAACACAAAATAGGTCTTTGTCTTCCCTCCCGTGCTGAAAAGGTTTCTATGAGTTTTTTAAGCAGAGAAGACTTCAACTCCACTCACAAATTTCAAAAAGGAAGGAAAAGCAAAGAATTGTATTTGGGTATATTATGAACAAGACAAACGAGCCAAACTGGAAACGGGATCTGTAGGGCTGAATGGTTCCGTTACCTGGAATCAAACAACGTGCCATCCAAAAGCGTGCCGTTGTAATGGTATCGGAGAAAGTCTCCTGTCTGGCTCCTCCGCTCGCAAGATTCAGGCACATGCTGGTTCTCAATAGTAATACCATCTTTGGGGTTATGGAGATCTAGCAAAACCACATCAAAGACAAGAGAAGCTTGGCCAGGGATCTCCTTACCTACAAAAGTGTTAGAGCAGAAAATTAGTAAGAAAGAGCAGATGGTCCAGAAGGAGCTTAAACATGTTTGTTGAAGAAAAGTAGCCTACTGCTGAATATCAGGCACCTCCCCTCCCAAAATAAATTAGCGTAATCTGCTTCTAGTCAGTCATTTTTGGTTTCATGTGTGGGTTTGTCACTTAATTCTCCAACTCAATTATTTCATTCTGTTCCTATTGTGATGGCACTGCCTCACCAAAAACAACAGCCTCTTCAGCAACATCCACCTTAGTCAATATATACCAGCTCCATCTGAGCTGCATGGTGTAGTCTACCAGTATTTCCAACACACTTCATGAAAGTGCATAAAATAACCATCAGAATACAAATTTGGTACATCCACTCTTCCCATCCTGTTAATATCAAAACAGGAGACCACATGATGGAAGTTAAAGAAGGGTAGACTGAGTATTTCAATGAAAAAGTACCTTTCCATCAACACACAAATTATGGCGTGGGTTGCTCTGACTGAGAACTATTGAGCTCAAGATCTTGGCAAAATTTTAAAACTAACTCCACAAAGTTTTGTTATCCATGGAGATGGCTATCACAGTTAATGGTAATGAAGTCATGGAAGTGGTACGAAATCCTGTACACCACAGACACATTCTTAAACATTAGAGCAGAGAAAGAATTTAAGGAAGCGTCCCAAACTATACCTAACTGCCACCTCCTTTAACACGGGGACCTCTATGTAAGACCTGCGGGCTGCATACAGTCTCATAGGACAATTAATCCATCTTGTAGTTATTACTAGGGCATTGGTTGCAAAAAAAAAGAACAAAACTGGAACTAAAAACACATTTTTCTTTTTTCAAAAGTTTTCTGCTCTCTGTGGCAGTCATTGAAAGAATTATGCAGGCATCTGACTTCCAGTTTTTCGAGCCACTAGATATTAATCACAGATTATATTATCTGAATGAAATAAAATTTCAGTATATAAAGATTACAATTTTATCAACAACATCTCTGTTAAGCAACCTACTGGTTAAATTTAAAAAAAAAAATCTTTTATTTTCTAATTAGTCAATCCTGTACATTATACATTTTGAGCCTCTCTTTCCATCATTTTGTTCCATCTGTCCGAAACGGGTAATAATGCTGCCCAAAAATTTAAAATACATAAAGTACAAGTTTTTTTTAAAATATGGATGACTTGGATAAAAAAAAAAAGAATAACTTTTACCGTCTCCTTCTTCTCCATATGCCAGGAAAGGTGGTATTGTGATAATGCGCTTCTCTCCTACGCACATCCCCAAGAGACCCTGGTCCATACCAGGAATCAGCCATCCAATTCCCACATAGGTATCGTAAGTTCGCATCCGATTATGGCTAAAAATGGGAAAAAAAAAAAACAACCAAAACCAAACCACAACCAAATGTCAGACAGCCACAGGGAAGAACAATATTAATCTTCAAAAGCCACACACTATGCATAATATAACTCACAACTTGCTGCTCCAAAAATACTGCTCCTTGATTTACCAAGGGTTGGCTGGGTAGTGCTTTCCAGAGTGCTTAGCTATTTCAGGAACCTAACAGAGGTTTTGAAAAGTGGCTCATAAACATAATAGCATTTTATTAAAGCATCATTTTCCACAGAACTTTAATGAAGTGCACACGTTGTAAACTTAAAATCTCAGTATGAAAGTGTTAATATCTCAATTTCATCACAAACTTTGCTTAGTTTTTTGGCTGGGTAGTGTTTTCCAGAGTGCTTAGCTATTTCAGGAACCTAACAGAGGTTTTGAAAAGTGGCTCATAAACATAATAGCATTTTATTAAAGCATCATTTTCCACAGAACTTTAATGAAGTGCACACGTTGTAAACTTAAAATCTCAGTATGAAAGTGTTAATATCTCAATTTCATCACAAACTTTGCTTAGTTTACAAAGCTTGTATCTAACTTGAATAGCTATGCTGCAGCGGTTATAAAAACTATCTATTAGCTGACTGCAATAAATACAGATACAGGGAATGAAATTTTTAAAAAGAAAGGATCTGGGCTCGTAATGCTAACGCAGAAATAATGTACTGTTTTATTGGTTTGAGTCAGTACCGCTGTCCCATAATCCCCGAATAAATTACTGACATTTATATGATGCTAGCTTTCATTTCTTGTCTTTCTGGGCAATTAGCATTAATTGTTATACCAGTGAAGGGGGAGGAAGTGATGGTTTAAAGTGACATCAGATACCTATTAAAAGACACAAAGACACACAACCCAGCTGCGTACCTTGAATCAAACAAGGTCCCATCTAAGAACGTTCCATTGTAATGGTATCGTACAAAGTCAGACACCTGGACTGTCCGAGGACACTTCTCAGGTTTGAAGTAAGTCTGAACCTGCACTTCGTCCTCCGAGTTCCAGAGATCGATCAGAAGCACATCGAAATGGAGCACAGCATTGGGGGGTATCACACCAGCTGCAAAACCAAACCAACACAACCAGTTTTATTTCCCTTTTTCTACATGAAAGGGAACCAATCTACACATTCCCTAAATAAAATCCACGATGTACAACTTATTCCTTTTTGTGCTTATATCCCCCTGTCCCTTGTCACTGTTGCAGCTACAGAAGCAGGGGGAGAATCTGGCAACGTGAACCGTTATCAAACATGTCCATCAGGCAAACTGCTCTTGATTTACCATTTGTCGCCTCTGAGTCTGCAGAGTAAAGCTGCTTTTGGCACTGACAAGACCCTGTGCAGCACTGCAACGCCAAAACACGGTAGCTATTTAACAGCGAGGTAGGTATAAATAAATAGTTAACTTTAGTAGCAAGGTTCATTTGCTGAAGGTCCTCTACAGTCAACAGCTCTTCCTTCCGCACGCCGATGAAGGCCGGAGCTATCAGCTACCCTATAGGCTTAACAAACAGCCCTGAGCAGGGGAGAATCTCTCTGAAATTCACTGCTTGCAATTTCTGTGACTCCATTTTCTGCCTGCTCTGCCGAACCACTTGCACCACCAGCCGTTCACCGCCCTGGTGCTGCACTTACAGACGCCTTCGCTTCCGTAGGCGAGCTTGGGGGGGATTTTCACGAACCGCCGCTCGTTCACGCACATGCCGACCAGAGCTTTGTCCATCCCAGCAATAAGTTGACCTTTTCCCACAAACACGTTGAACGTGGATCCCCTGTCATAGCTAAAGAGGGAGAAGTGAGCAAAAATGTTAACGGTTCATTTACCCATCACTCCACTATTTTTTTGAGAGTTTAACCGTACCTTGTCTCCCCTTGCCCTGTTAGCATAACTTTATTGTGAGACAGCTGCTAAGAGAAGGGGCAAATCTATATGTTTCTGAGACTTCAACCCAGCTCTCCTTCGGTTCGCTGCTCACCGTCTATCTGAAATGCATTCTAGCAGTGTGCGATGTATATGGCCGGCACCCGAAGCCCCTAACTACAAACGGCTAATTTACACGCTAATACTATAAGCAGTACTGGAAAATTACAGATGAGAAAGAAAAATTAAACAACATTACAAGATATGAAAGGATGGCTGCTCCCACAGTAGGATCTCAGCATATTGATTTTGGTGAGTAACACCACAAAAATATTATGCGAGATCGCTAAGCTTTACAACGTGAGACATCTCCGTGGGAGAAAAGGAAAGGAAAAAAGATGCCTTTTTGAGTAATAGCTGTGAGATTTGCCAATTGGTTATTTATTTTCTCCAAATGGTTACTTATTTTCTTCTCCACATTCCCAGCTCTCTCGTCACTAAGATTTAAATAGCAAAAAATAGAGATGTACTTCTAACAGCAAGTGTGCCAGACCAAGAATGATCTTCCATTGTGATAATACATGAACATTTGAAAGGTAAAAGAAATGATGCGTAAATGATAATTAAGTTTTCCACAGAGAGCAGCAGTGTTACCACAGCAGAACACTAACATTAGCTTACGTGGTTAGTCTGACCACCTTAAATCCGCACAATGACCCCACTTTGCTGTGCCTGAATTGCTGCTGTTATTTAATTTTTTCAAGCGATGTATAAACATTTGGCAGGAAGCATTTCAAAAGCTTTGTGCCTATTTTTAAGCTTTTACTGCTTCCATTTTCTCAAATTCCTTTTATAATTTAAAGGACTTCCCCCCCTCCCGCCCCCCAGATAAAAGGCAGCACTGGAAAAAAAAATTTTAAAAAAGGCTTGTGCCTCTTCTGTCTGCTAAAATATTCTGGAAAGCAGCCAATAGCTAGATATCACTAGGGAAATGATGTCAAACTTTCCTTCGAAGTCTGTATACATCACTTCCACAACATACTAAGCCTCCTAATAGTCCCAGAGCCTCGAATCCCTCAAATATTTTACTGAGTGATCTCTCTGTTTGCTCCACCATCTTTTTTTCTGGCAAACATTTCCTTTAAAATAGACAACTCTCTATACAGACCATTCACTTTCAGTTGCACAAATACTCCTACTTCCAGGCAAGGATGGAAAATATTTAAATTAGCTCCTGACAAATTCTATTATACACACAAAAACATCATTAAGATGTTAAGACTAATAACATAATATGTTCTAAGAAACCCCAAAAAGTGGTATTTTGTAGCAACTGACAAAGCTTGGCAATACATCTGGGATGGGCTTAAAACAGAAGAGCTTTTTTTTCGCCAAAAATAAACCTACAATTAAGAAAACATTGATGCTAAGCAGAGAACTGAACAAAGCAGTGAACAGATCATGCAGCTTTGCAGGACTGACTTTGCAGATTCCTTAAAACTAAGCAAAATTAGTTTCTATTAGAGGAATCTACCAAATTCACAGCAGATGACTAGGCAATTAAGTTCAGATTCAAAAATGCAAATCGTTTTACGGCCTTGGAAATAAAAATGCAAATACTGACGGGGGAAAAAAAAAGGAATAAACAGGCACATTAGTTAATTTATGTGACACAGTCATAGTTACTAAGACTGTCAACAGCCTGTTAACAAGAAGAGCTGTATTACTACCTTCTACTTGGAAATACAGAAAAATCATTTTAAACCTCAAGAACATTTTCAGCAGTTGAAGAATAAACAAAGTGAAACTGCCCTTAGTTCAACACCCGGAGTATTTTCTAGACCGATTTCATAGTAGTGTTTGACTAAATTAATGCTGGTAAGCACTTTCATAAACTTAAAAAAAAACAGATAGCGACTCTGACAGGTAGAAAAACGGGCTTTCTAATAGGCTAATTTTAGTATAATTTGACTGAGTATCTTTAACTTGTATGCAGGGAACACTAAAGATTTTATGACAAATACTCCAAAATATTTCTTCCATTAACCTACAAAACATAAAAACCTCCTAATTTTCCATTGTCTTAACATGATAATCCACTGTCATCAATCTTAAAAAAAGACCATAGTTAGCGAATAACAAAAATGTATGTCAACATGAGCTGCCGTCTAGAAAAAAAATGACAAGCTGAACAAACCTGACTTTTTGCATCCTTTTGAAATGAGGATGGCCATACAAATACTCAAGTTAGATTAGACTATCATTATTATTATTTATTTACTGATTTTTAGAGGGCCCAAAGTTCTGCACAGACTGTTCCTGCCCCAAATAATTCAGAGCCAAATGACAAGGAACTTGGAATTAAACCAGAGCCAACACCTGGAAAGCCCCTCCAGGTGCCCTGCCTCAGTGCAGAAATTTGCTGGTATAACTCAGCGTACAAGTAAGCCGCAGTAGGTATCTGCAGAAATCAGAAACACATTTCTGAACAATGGCTGGTTTTCCAATTGTCGCATATTTGTAAAATGAGCAGTGAGGATGCTGCCTTTCTTTGCGCATCCTCACACCTCAGTTAAGACTTACTTTCTGAGACTGTCAGTTGCCAATGAATTCACTGTCCTTGCTGTGCTTTTTCACTGAAACTGTACCAACGCCAGCTGAA